AATTTTTTAAAATCAATCTATGTTATATCAATATAATTCTTCAATCACAATAAACTTTAGGATAAATTACACTGACACTCATGTAAATTGATCTAATTACCAGGACACCCTCAATTTTTTGAAATTACACTAAGACCCCATGTCAAGTCTTGTCCATTAACAAATATTAAAAAAAATATAATTTTTCATAATTATCCTTACCATACATATATCATTTTTTACTTATCATCCTTTTATATATTTAAATACTAATAAATGGGTCATTTTTTGGTTCAACCCGTCAAACCTGAAATTGACATGATCAACCCGTTTTATTTAATTGTGTCGAATTTTCTCTATTTTTCCATTTGTATATTAACACGAACAACATTGAATTGCAATGATCCATATGTTTAATTGATATTATAAAAATAAGATATTAATTATTTGTTGTTATTTATTAAACACTAACATAATTATTATATAAAAAGATATTGTTACTAATTATTATTACTATGTTTATTAATTTAATTTTTAATTTATAGAAAAAGTATGAGAATGCATTCAATTAAGTAATAATAGAACCTTAGACTTAAATCTCAACATTAAATTTTTTTATTTAAAGTTTACATGAGTCAACACGAATATGAACACACCTGTACAGGTAACCTAGCGGTGTAGAGTTAAACTCAGACAAACCGTAGACCCGGACGTCAGGGGTTTGACTCTCGTTGGTGTCTCTCAGACTTAACTGATACTTGTGGTTTGCGGGTAATTGTAGGTATTCGGAGTTTGTTCTCGCAAGAAAGGGTTCAAAGTGGCTTTACTTAGAAACGTTCCACAATATAAAAAAGAAACATGAATGCGAACATGAACACGATACGAGATACGAAAATAAAATAGATTAACCTAATTTTATCCAAGGGTAATATGAGTATTAAAGTATAAAAAATTGATGATGTAATCACTTTTTTGACATTGCCGATAACAATGCTAACCATAGGGATACTTTGTGAAATGGGTAGGTAAACAATAAGAGATGTCAATGTAATTTTAAAAAACTGAGAGGTGTCCCTGTAATTAGACCAATCTACAAGGATGTCAGTGTAATTTACCCTAAACTTTATAAGTTGTACTAAGATTTTTTTTTTATAAACATAAATATCGTAGTATATTTTTAAGTAAAACTTGAATTCTTTAGAATTTTAAGATATTTGATAATACAAATCATAAAGTAATATATTAAATTTTATTCCAGCTAACCTAACTTATTTTTAATTGCAGTAAAGTTTCAATGTGATTAATATATTAACAATTACCCAAAAAAAAAAATAGACTTCACTTACCCAAAAAAAAACAATTCCTTTTATTTTATTCAATGAATTATAATTGAAATCATAATCAAATGAATTTCAAAAAATTTAATTTCTCAAACATCACTAAAAAAATCAATCTTAATCACAAAATTCTAAAAATATAGGACTTATTTTTTTTTTATTTTTTATAGTTAGAACAAAGACTTTTGGGAATATATAAAATTTTCATAATCTTATAATAGAATATGAGAAATAAAAAATTAAAATTTATAAATTTAAGATGATATTCAATTCAAATACATATATACCTAAACACTTTGATTGTTGAAATATATATATATATATAATTCAACAATCAAATTGTTTAGATCAACTTACACGCACATCAATTATTCTTCTCTTCAGTCTGATTAAGGGCAAGACATCCACGCCAAAATTAAGGTATTCATATAGGATAAATATCGTATAATCTGGTCCTAAGAAACTGCCAAAATTTGAACTCAAAATATTTAAATTTACAACTCGTAATTTTTACTACTTGCACTACCATAGAAAAGAAAATATAATATAAACTTCAAAATAACAAGAGCCAGAGACTAAAGGCCATTTAAAAAAAAAAACAAAGTAAAAATTTTCTAGTGATTATAACAAACGCCAGGAATTGAACTCCACGAATGGCCTCTTTCGTAGGAGTGAATAGTAGATTGAGTCTCAACCAAGGAAGTTGGGAAGAATACACGTAGGCTAAAGGGTGAACCGAACCATTAAGTACTTGTGCGGGATGGTTTTTGCACAATAAATAAATAAAAACAGATCTCTCACTTGATAAATTTATATTTACCTCGAAGGTCAACGATCTTTGGGCAAAGGAACGCCAAAGGTGATCTAAGGAGTGATGATGAATTACTTTAAGGGTTGTCCGATCAATACCGGCAAGTCGTAGGCGGTCCCTGGCACAAAAAGAAGGGTTATTTGACGTATCCCCTCTGACGTTCAAGTCAGGTTCTATGAGAGAAGGGAAGAAAAAGTATTGTGTATATGCTAAGAATTGTGTTTGCGTACCTTTGATTTAAGCTTTAGAGAGCTATTTATACATTTCATGAAAGTCATCATTACTAATTACTCCCTCCGTTCCTAAATATCTGTCGTTTAAGGTTTTTGCACAGGAATTAAGAAAACTATTAAATAACTCTAAAATAAGTAAAAAATAATTACACAAAACTAAAATACACTTATTCAATACATATAGGAAGGAAAGGAATATGAAATGTACTAACCTACACTTAATCTATTGAGCACTTATTGAAAAACAAAGATAAGGGTAAATTTGGAAGAAAAAATATTAATTGTGCTTTGATTTCATTAAACGACAGATATTATGAAATAAAAAAAAATTATTCAAAACGACAGATATTTAGAAACGGAGGAATAGTAGGTAATAGGCGGAGCTCACTCATTGGGTTGTACACCCTCTATTTTGTAGGAACTAAACTCAAGCATAAAATACTCGGCTCCTTGAACATTTAATGTCCTTTACCCAGGCTCCAGAGCACTTAATACTCTTCTCCTTGATGTACCGATATTAAATGTCTGGACTCCAGAGCATTTAATGTTATTCTTTCTAGGCTTCCCAAGCCATCATGGACGTCACGTCCTTATGAGGATTTATTAAATGCTTTTATGGGATAACTATATGTTAGCAAGGGTATTTCCATCAATTTACCCCTAATCTTGTAAGTCGTGACATGTGTCCAACTCCCTTTGGTCGCTAGTCTTGCCCACTCTACCATCCTGACTTTATGGGAAAGGTAAGCCAATTATTCTCTGTCAAACTCTGAGATTGATGGACTATAACTGTCAGTAGTCCACACAAAAGCCGAGGTGATGTGTCCGAATGAGTCCCCGGGATCTAACCACACTGGGGATACGAGCCTGAACCGGGGAGTTGAAGGTGTTCTCAGTGTCAAGGACACGTGTCACCATGGCAACACCTAAGAGCCCCCTAAACCGAGGACATGTATCACCACGCCAACGCCTAGGACCCTCGGAGCTGAGGAACGTGTCATCTGAGAGGCTGAAGGTATCTCCGGTGTCGAGAACACGTGTCATTAGAGGGCTTAAGGTATCATCGGTCCCAAAGACACGTGTCATCATCTGACTGCTTGAGAGCCCTCGACGCGGAAGACACGTGTCAAATCCAAGTCCCTTCTTAGGAATGTCCCATCAGTACCCAATCCTCACCTGTGGCTAGTCTTACATCCATTATACGTTTTATATGATTTCATGATCACATTCATAAGTTGGGATTTAATTTTACATGTCTTTATAAACTTGTGCGAGTTTGGCTGGTGATTAAAGCATAAATTGGTGATGTGTTTAAAGTCATGAATGGAATATTTGTAGGGTGCATGGACACTTCGAGTTGAAACATAGAAGTCGGAAACTAAACCTGATCAAAACATTACAGTTCGAGAGCAACTGTGGTTGTACTTCAGCAGACCAGAAGACCAATATAGAATTACAGTTCTTGTTACTCATAGTTGGTGCCATGCCATTCAGTAATTAAAGTAACAAACAAGACATTAAGAAAAAGAAAAATTGATAACCGTATTCACTCCAGTGACTTCTGTTTAGTTTGAATATGGTTTGTGATGGGATTGAACAATTGATTTCATTCTAATCCACAGTTGTTGTAATAATTGGTTAACCTTTTTACCCTATTCCAACTAAATCATACTTGGATGAAGGTTTAAATAAATTGTGGATCAATTATTCTAGTACCAATCTCATGTTTGGATGAAGGTTTAAATAAATGGGCATTTGGTTCAATGGTACTTTTTATCTTGTAAAGACTTTACCTTCTTCAAGTCAAGAGTTCAAATCCCCCTGTCCCTCCCCCTCCTCCTCCCCTCCCCTAAAAAAAATTATGGTATTAAGTTTAAAAAGACTAGATCACCATACATCAAATGCATAAATCTTTAACCTATAAAGGAACTCTTGTTATTTTGGATATTAAACCAATTGTCTCATTAAATACGACCTAGTATATGGTATTAATTTATATCAAGTATAAAGTGTTATATGACACTTTAGAGTAGGGTCAATACTAAAATATCTTTAATACTAGAATTTGTAACTTAACCTAATATTGATATTAAATAACGATTAGATTAATTTAATCCAATACCATCTTTTAATACCTCAAACAAAAATGTTCTGTGCGTGTGTTGATCATATTTTCGAGTTGTGATATGTAGCTTTAATTTGAAACTACGCGGACATCCATGACCATAAAGTCACTGTATGGTACCAAATATTGCCAATACATGCATTATCACATGATGGACATAAAAGATGATTTCTGGCTAGAAGATGGAAAACATTCACTAACCATGTTGAACCATATAGACATTCTACACGTATGGCCAAAACGCGCATGATTTATCCTCCCAGAGTTTCACGGGGCCAAAAAAAAAATAAGAGCTCAAAAGGTTTGAGGCAAGTTGTTCTTTTTTTCTAAACATTTCGACTTCCGCTACATGATTTTTAGCACAGTTGATAACAAAATTTTCATTTAAAACTCGGTATAAACAAGTCTCTCCACCGTAACCACGAAATAGAAAAGATCAACCTAAAAAATCTGTAACTACAATATACCTCATCAAACGAATTACACCTCTCATTCCTTCCCCCCCCCCCCCCCCCCCCCTTCTTCCTTTCCCTCTAAAATAGAATTGACAATAATTACATAATCTAACTTACTGTAAATACAATTAACAATCTACTGTATCCATCCAAATGGTAGCTTGTTTTAGCACTCAGAAGCCATAAACATTACCTACAAAATCCTCTTCATCCCCACTACTAAGCGATTCAACCAACCCACTATCATCATCATCCTCACCTTCAGTCACAATCTCCAATATTCCACCTCCAGCATCAAAGTCCCCATCATCCATAATGAAATCTCCATCTTCCTCATCATCATCATCAAGCTCGCTCACACTATCATCATCATCATTGCTCATATCGTCAGCATCGCTTTCCCCATCCCCCTCGAGATCTGGTCCCAGTAGTGGGTCCTCATCACCATCCTCATCATCTTCATCCTCCTCTTCGCTCTCAGCATCATCCGGATCAGAATCATCATCAGTCGGCCTCCGACGGCCGATTTCATACACCCTAGCCGAAGAATACATCTCTTCTTGGTCATCCATTGTCACCAACCCAACAAAAGAATCAGTTGGCTCCGTTGCAAAGTCAAGGACGCAACGGTCTACAGGAATAGTAGCAATGTCGGAATAATTGACAGCATCCACAGTACGAAAAGCAGAAAAAAGGGGGTGCTTAACACGTCGAGTTTGAAATGCTGAAGTAACATCCTCAAGATTTCTCCTCAGAATTGCATATATAACATCCCCACTCGCATTAAAAGTTATTAGTGTCTGATCCAAGGAAGGTACGCTTCGGAGAAGCCTGAAGTTCCTTAGATCCCAGACTTCAGAGTTTATAATCACCTGCTAAAAATAAGTATCGTTTTAGCAGAAAGGTCAAAAGGAAAGAACAGACATTCAAGGCACTAAATAGACAGATAGAGCCATCCAGTCTCAACATGCAAAAGTAATAATGTCTATGTTGACTTAGAAGGAAAATTTACTAGAAAGAATACATGGGAAAATTGGATAACTTCAACGAGCCCACTGAACATTTCACAAGAAGTGATCAATCAGCAAGACTTATATATGATAAAGTATTCGGCGTTTGTGCTGCAATCCAAAAAAAAAAAAGACTAGTATTATTTCATTCTTCTTTATTAACATGGAGCAAACACAAAAATACAAGATATGGTTGTGGTTAGAATTCCATATTCACAGTCTACACACGTAGGTCTACGTTATGTGAGACAGATGAGGTATGTTTAGTGACACTTTTTTTAGAGTTGCAGTTTATAAGCAAAAAAGTCAAAAATATCTTAGGCCAGTGCACAAAAAACACTTTCAATAGTGAAAAAAAAAAGTACATATTTTCTAATGCAGAAAAATTGTCGTTTTTGCTTTTTATTACTTGTAGAGGTTCGCTCTTTCACCAAGCATTACCACATGTATAACAGGACATGTATTCACGTATACAAATATATTACTTACATACAAATATGCACACATATTACATCTAGAGAGTAATCACCAAAATGCTTTCACCTTTTTATTTGTCATTTTAAGAAAAAAACATAAACTTATTATTTTACTAAGAAAAAGTAACCTTAAAAAGCATGAACAAAGGGTGCCTGACTTTTTCTAAATGAACATGGAGCGACAACCATCCAGAAGATTCGATGGAGCATAGACGTCTGAAACCACCAAGACTTTACGTACATCTACTACCTTAACTTAAAAATATCATTTCACCTAAAATGGGGAAAGCCTATTTCAAAATTTCCGAAATTCAGAAACAGACTTTGAAAGTCATTCGTTTTCAAGAGAATTACTATCAGTTCTATAGAATATTTCAATGATCGAAGTGCATTCATAATGAACAAAATAAAGAGGTTAGTTCTCTATACCTCATTTCCAGCAGGATGAAAGCCACCACCCCCATAATCTGTAAACTGATCAAAGCGATGGATAGGGCCAGAACCACGACGATCCCATAAGACCCCATTCCATAGAAGCATAGTATCTGAGGGGCTAAAGTGAACAAGAGAATAAATGTGTCCCCTACCCGAATAACTCATAGACGTGTCCGTTAGCTTCAGTTCCAACTGGCAGGTCTGGATATCATACAAGAGAATTTCTCTTTGCGATGACTCTGATGATAGTGCTGCAAATATGGTCCCAGAATTGCTAAATCTAGCAGCTTTGCACCCTTCAAATGAATGCTTGGGCCCAGCCGAGACCGAAGATGCATCCCACAATCGCACATCATGGGCACTTGAAGAGAGAACCAACTGACTCTCTCCCAAAAGATATGACTGGACGAGTGTCAAAGGATACTGGTGGCTGGTGCAGTTCTCCAGCACATTGTTGCTGTTCGAATCAAAAACTTTTAGCTCACCAAAACGGCTTCCAGCAGCTATCTGAGAGGAATCTCCTAGAAAAGTGAGGCAGGTCAAAAGGGCACCACCATCATCCCTGCAAGTTCGCCATGGTCTAAATCTGCTGTAAACAAATTGACGATCCCTGCGATTCCCATGGATCCCACCATACATACTTCTAAACTCACGTGTACTAAGCCTGCCAGTCACATTTGAAGGAGTATCAAGGCTTCGTCTTGATTCTGGACAGACATGCGGGTGCAAGAGTGAAAGTGGTGGTAATGTGGTAATAGGAGCTGGGCATTGGCGATGCTGGTGCTTCAGATACTGAACAACAAGAGAGTCCAAGGTTAAACGTTCTGCATTGGAGGGTTGTGGATCATTCAGAAGTCCATGTTGGAATGAAGGTGTCATTTGAGCCAGATTGGTGTTACCATGTCGGTTCTCATCCAAATTATCAGCTAGCAAGCTACTTGGTACTAATCGTCCGTAATGATGATCTTTCAAAGTAGAAATTGGTGTGGAAATGACATTCAAATCAGTTAGTATACTGCTTTTACGGAAAGCATTCGGTGTTGAACAAACTGGAGATCGAAGTCCATGGTCACCAGAGCTGAGTCGTTTCCCTGACGACACTGGCCCGGTGTCTTTTAAGTCCGTTGACTTGCGTTTCATTGGCAATAGAATTGGAGTTTTAAATTGCATGTCAGCATCCACACTAGGTTTCCCTGCAGACACTGATGGAGCTTCTGGTGTGCTTGCAAGTCCAGAAGACTTTTTTGATTGTAAACCAAATGTAGGAGAGAAAATAAGAGGTTTCTTCTTTGATGATGACACAGATGAATCAAACTTTAAGCTGAGATCCTCACCCCGTGAGGTAGCTTTCGATTTAACAGAAAGAAATCCACCCGGAGTACGTCCTGATGGCCATTGAATTTGTATTGACGGGGATTCATGCAAAGAGGTTTGATGCACTAGTGATGATGGGGCTGCCAAGGACGGCAAAGGTGTTAACTGAGCCTCTTTTAGAAGTGCAGCAGCCGTTGCTGCCAAACCAGATGCCTGAAGGTGTTCATGTATAAGAAGTAAAAGTTCCCTGAAATTTAGACAAAAACAAACACGAGTGCAAACTAAAAACCAAGGAACAAAGCATGAATAAAAAGAAAAATGATAGCATAAAAGTATGAAGGAGGAAGTAAGCATAGATTACCTGGAATGGTAAGTAATGGGAGTAGCAGCAGCTATAGCAGCTCTCTCTATACGTCTCAAAGTAGGAGTAGCAGCATCACTAGCTGCTAATGTACTTGCACGCCCAGAATTGGTTACGATCTGCATACAACAAAGATCAAATCAACATGAACTTGTACAATCAGACAGTATGATGCATGACCAACGACTCCAAAATACCATAAACTGCAGGTTTTATATGGGCAAGCAATCAATAAAACAATTGTTATCATTTTAAAGTTTTTGTTAAAAAAAAAATTGCTAAAAAAAATATACATTATGTTTAACTGAATAAATTTCATGTTATGTTCATCAAATTTATATTGTATCGTCCATATTATATTTTATAATTATAAAGATTATAGAAGTTAACTCATTAGGAAAAGATTATATCAAGATCATTGTTCGTATTCCCTTCACCTATATCTATACTACTAAAAAAAAGAAGCTAATGAGAAAATTTTTTGATTTCTTATTCTACCCTTACTTAATCATATAAAGACAATCATATCCTATTTTCCACTTTAACTCTTAGACCCTTTCCTATCTAGGAGTAAAAATTTGCAATTACAAGTGCAATGAATATATAATATTACCTATAGGAAGACCTTTCATATTCATAACATTAGAGAAAATTACAAAACAATATAAGAATAACAGTGCTCTCCTTTGAAACCCTCACTTTCCAAACAGTAGATAAATCTTCTTTCTTTAAATAATAGAGGCTACTGGTATTTTAGTTCTTCTCTATAACTTTTATAGCTCCTTTCATTTTTGTCTTTAACTTTTATTTTCCTTTGCAAGTTGTCATAGACCTTATGAAAATAGCACTTGTAAACGGTATTAAAGATGATGAGCTCAAACTACAAGAATTCTTAACTCTTTGTGATTTTTTTATTTTTTTTTTTGGTATCAGTGCTTAACTTCATTTAATGTTGCCTTACTATCAACTGCTGATTTGATGATCTAATCTGAGTGTAATCTAGGACTTTAAGACAATGTGATGTCTTTTACTTCACTATTTAGATTTAATTTTTTTATTTATTTTCTTTTTGATTTTTATTTAGAAATTTGATTTGTCATAGTGTTAGTGCCGGAGATTGGACTGTTAATTTTTGCAACAACTATACACAAATTGTACTTGTTAATTAAATTTTTATTCACTTCTATTGAATTTTAATCTATTTTTTGGTCTTCAATTGTCAAACATTTACTATAAGATTGTAATTTTTTCCAATCTAAATACAATTTGGGATGAGAAACTCTATATTCTCGATGGGAATTCTTGTAAGTGTTGCCCACAACCATGGTAACGCAAAATATTTGAAATATAAATATTATAAAACCAATAAGTAATCAAATCAATAACCTAATGTGTTCTTTTTACATTCTGCCTCTATTATTTTCTAACTTCACACTTACATTATGTATACATAAATCACAAATATGGAGATAAACAGTAGAAAATAAAAATAAAAATTATAATTATAATTTAAAATGATTCATGTACAACATACGTGAGCACCAACTAGTAAACTATAAACATCTGATGGACTATCTTTTTTGATTCTTTAATTTGAACCGATTGATAGAGTATGAGTTTTTCCTTTCATGTTTCATTTTTCTCTTTTTTGTTTTTGTTTTGTGCCATATTAGTTTCCCACCCAGAATTAGTAAATTATAATTGAAGCCAAAACGAGGATATGTCGGTGTAAGCATTTGCTCATTATACTATAAAATTGATATTCATTCCTAATTATTTGTAACATTAAATGGAGAGCGAGAGCAAAAGATACATGAAGTGATTGGAGATAGGAGAAAAATTCATAAAAACCTTAACGAAAAAAATTGAAAGGTTGGATTGTTGGATAAAGAAGAAAATACCCATATGTCAACGTTTTGAACATTTGGGGATAATATTATATTAATAGAGTAATGAAGAGTTTTTTAGCATATTTTATTATTATAGAATGACGTCTTTATACGTCCTAGCAAGGGTAACATGGTCATTCAAAAAAAAAATTCAAAGACAATGAGATTTACACAAACTGTTGGAGATCATTTGGATATTTAAATACATGAGATTATCATTTATAAGTTTTTTACAGAAGCAAAATAATGAATTAAAAGTCATGTTAAGCTACGTTTATGAAGAGTAGAGATATGTAGTTATCTACATCTCTTAAAAAACTCCTCTCAATTACCCAAAGTTCAACCGAATCAAGGACATAGAAGCAGGACATCCCAAAACACAAAGGAATCAACAAGAAACACGATTATAAGTGGCTTATGTGTGCGTAAAATCGTGAATCAAGCGAGGGCTCAAGCACATCAATAAATCAAGAAGTTCCAAAATATCTGACTTTAGAGTATAGATTATATTTCATTTAAACTAAAATGAAACCTCAAACAAAGTGCAGTAGCTTCAAGTCCACCACATTGACTACTAAAGTCGGAACATAGACCAACAACCAATTCCCGTCCCCAATAATAGATGGGACTTCAAATCCCACCATGTAATTGTTCTTATCCACATTACCCCATCATGAGGATACGTGTGGCACACTGATACTCGTCGTCTAGGAAGCACGGATACGAATACAAGATACGAGTACAATACGATATGAATACAGCGATACGACAAAACTTCAAAAAATAGACACATATACGGCCGAGATACATCTATAAATATATATATATATATATATATTATATTTTCTCTACTATGTAATGACTTGATAATTTTTAAAGATTTGTTAACAATAGTCAACAACACTAATAATTTTTTATTTTCAAAAAATTACCTATCGCTTCACTTTAATACATCTACAAAGTGAACATAATTAATTAAAGGAATAAGAACTAATAATTAACTACATTATTTACTTAGAAGTATTTGTTGTTAAGATTATAGAATAATCAACTCATTTAAACTCTTTAGACATGTGATAATGGTTATTAATTAAAAAACACCGCGAAGTATAGAAGTATCCGTGTAGTATTCATATATTTTATTTATTAATGGATATATTTTGTGTATATCCATATATATTCTCGAATATCCAATGAGTATTATATTCAATACAGTATTCGATACTGATACGTCGATCTTAACAAAGTATCCGTGCTTCATAGCTCGTCATATACATGAGGACAAGTATCAAATGCATTTCGTGTGTATCAACTACTTATTATATATTTTTGTTGTTTGATACATATAGTATATGCCCCGGATACACGTATCTCTGAGAAAGATATATGTTCATTGTAATTACTGAGCTGGTCTTTGTTCTTAGTAGTCATATTCATGCTCATTATATACTATGGGAGGATTGGATGAATTCACTTTCCTTGAGGAGAGTGGTGTTGGGCTGAAATTTTGAGAATTGTTTACACCTTGCTTAATTTGAAGGCTTAAGTTAAAACCAATGACTTGCATTACAATTAGACGTTAAGGTAAAATTTGGGCCAAGGACAACACATGTCAAACTTTCAGGTTACATGGGCCATTGGATAGAACACACCATTATGTGATGCCTATGTGAGCTACATATATCATTTAGTTTGGCATGTTGATAGCGATCGTAAAGGGATTATGTAAACATAAAATTGAAGATTAGAATTTTATTTATTATTAGATTATTTGGTTAGCTAATAATCATCTCATTAGGAGATTTAGATAGAGTTTTAACTAGAGAGTACTTTTTATTTGTGGGTAGGACACTTGTTCTATAAATAATGGTGTAATCCCAATTATTTGAATATAAATTGATTAGTTTCTTTGCATGTTTCTTGATCTAATCCTTGCAATAATTGGTTATTCCCTTTCTTTCCCTTCCCTCTCTACATCAATTGGTATCAGAGCAAAATTCTGATCCATATTCTCTACTCTTCTTCTCTATCTCTGCCTTCAAACTTCCTGTTCACCCTCAGTTGCTACTTTGCATGACTGAACCCTAGCCATATTTGTTGCATCTTGTCATCCAAATTCTGATTATTGTTGCGGCTGTTGGTTGTCGATGATGCACTGTTGCTGAAAGGAGAAGAGTACTGTTGTTAATCAAGAAGGTAAGCTGCTGGAAAAAGACTTCTTTATCCAAGTTGTCTTAACCCAACTTCTTTAAACCGCAGCCGAGCCCAAATCTTCTTTCAAGCCATAACCCAACCCAAAAAAAAAAAAAGACAAACAAACAAACAAAAACAAGAGTTCCGGCCCAATTCCCCATCTTTGACGCCCAAAAATTGCCCTATCACAACCTACCCATTTGACCTAACTGCACACCTCTACACAACACCACTGAAATTACACAAAATTCCCTGACATTTTAGAAAATTTCAGAACCACCCTGAAACTTCATGAAATTACACTTTGGTTCCTATAGTTTCTGAAATTGCAATTTGGCCCCAACAATTTCTAAAATTACAGTTTGGCCCTAGAAATTTTTGTAATTTTTCGTGTCACTTCTTTCATCAAGATGGTTTCCAATGTCGAATTAAATGCTAAAATGGAGGTTTTGTCCCAAGCACATGATAATTCGCAAAAAACCATAAATGCTAAACTAGATACAATTGAAGCATCTATCAATTCATTGAGAAAACTTGTGCTCGCTACAATTTATGAAACTAGACAAGTGAAGATTTCAACTTTACGTCTTCAACTGTCAATCAAAAAGTGGTTGAACATAGTCCTCCAGTTATACAACATGCTGCACCACTACAAGTTTCAGTCTGATTGAATGATGAAGACATTCTTACAGAAGAATTTAAAAGAGTTTCAAAGGGTGCCACTACTTATGGAATTGCTATTTTGTCTCCACTAGTTTATATGCTTCCTTAATCTATATTAGTGTCTATGGACAAGTTTGTGAAGAATGTAACACATTAAGGGATTGTTTTCTACTATGGGAATCTACATGACTATTTAGTTAAAATGCAAGCTTCTTTAGATCTCATGAGTTCTTCTACCTTTACAACTCTTTGGCGAAGAGTTTGTTTCAACTAGGGAGAATTTTAAGGATCGTAAAGGGATTGGATAGATATAAAATTGAAAATTAAAAATCAAAATTTTTTTTTATTTTATTATTAGATTAGTTGGTTAGCTT